TTTAATAGTCTGTTCTTGTGCTGAATTTCTGGGATCTTGATTATTATGTGTCTGGTAGGTTTATTTTGGTTATGGATAATTGGCATTCTGTATGCCTTACTTAACTTTATGTCAGATTCTTTTCCCATGCTTGGGAAATTTTTTGCTACTACTTCTGCAAATAGCATTTTTATGTCATTTGTGTTTGTTGCTGCTGTTTCATTGACACCTATCTGTCCTATATTGCTTTTTTGCACCATCTCTCAGCTGTTGAATTGTCATTTGTTGGTTCCTTGTTATTTTTAAGAGATATTTTCTTTTGTGACTGCTAGCTGCAATGCTGTCCTCAAGGTTTGAAAGTTACATTCAGTTTCAGTCAAATGGTTTTGCCAGCTTTCAATGGACTTTTTAAATTTCCTGGATATCTTGAATCTGTTTTATGCATTCTAATTCTCTCCTATATTGTTCTTTTAATGTTTTCATCATTTTTCTATGTTCCTCTGTTTGTTTTTGTCTGTGTCTTCTTTAAATATTCTGAGCAGTTCTTTCATTATGGTTGTCATTTCTTTTTGTTGTTGTTGTTTTTACCTGAGAGACCATTTCTTTGTTTTTTCCAAGCCAAACTGTGTCCAGCTTTATTAAAGATAATTTTCATAAACAATCATGGTATTTCAGACAGGACATGGGCATGCAGTCATTAACAGTATACAACTTTCAAACTCCCTTCTTTGATGGACTACCAAAAATCAGAAAGCCACTATAAAATCCAATGAAGTGGGCTGGGGAGATAGCTCAGTAGAATAAACACTTCCCTGGCAAGTGCAAAGGCCTGAGTTCAATCTCCAGTTCTGCCAAAAAAAAAAAATCCAATGAAGTCTTCATTTGAGGCTCTAAAGTAGGGAAAGCTTAGAGTGAGTGTTGATATTTCACATTTAGCATGTTGTTTAGCAACTTTTCACAAGCTGACCCTGACTTCCAGGAAATGAAAATGGCAGAATTATCAATCTGAAGATCTACAATCTTAAAAAAGAAACCAATTGCTCTTGTGGGACACCATCTCAATCTAGCGAGTCCAGATTGCCTGACACACTGGTAACATCACTTTTGGGAATCAGATCCCAATAGGTCTCTGGGCTGAAGGGAGTTAAGCCTATGCTGATAGCAGAGGAAAGGAGGATATAAAATGAAATGGAAGCTGTCCCATACCACAAGACATTTATGCCAAGGCAGTCACATGTGTCAACATCAGGGACTCCCTTTTCCTGGGAGCCAGGAGGAAGCCTGTCAAAACCAGCAGTTCCCACATTGATCCAGCTTTGGAGACATACTACTGACATGTGCTCCTTCCCCCAAAAACTACAATGAAGTATTCTGTGTGCTAACAACATAGCTTAACAAAAAAGCAAAACAAAATTCTGCATTTTTATAAAACTTGATAAAAAATAGTATTTCAAACTATATAGTCACCAGAAGTTCACAGTTATCAAAAATACACACACTTCACTTGGCATCTCCAGCACCTTCAGCTTTCTGTGCCTGTCTGTTTTGGCATCTCATTTTCTGCAGGGTTATCCCCATCCTTGCTGGCATCAGCTTTTCCCTTTGGGTACCTTCTCTTCCTTCTTTGCGAGGGCCTTATTAGGCTTGGCCTCTGGCTTTGGGGGAGCTGGTGTAACAGAAAACCTTGTAGAGCTTCTCTGTGGAGCTTTTAAAGCCACCTTTGCCTTGGCTTTGTCACCTTTAGTGTCCCCTTCAGCCTTTCTCTTGGGCATGGTGGTGATGGCAGCAGGTCACAGGCGCTAGACAGGAGATACAGCAGCGTGCAGCTTAGGGTGGCTTGGGGTTGTCCTCACTTCTTCACACTGCTCCCTGAGAGACTATTTCTGATCTGATTTCTTCTATTTTATCGAGTTATTTCTTTACTTCAATTACTATCATTTCAGCAATTTCCGATGTTTGACTTCCAAGTTCTATGTTGGTATCTCTTGGACTTGTTCTGGGTGGGCTGGAGGTCCAAGAATACAGGAAATTTTCTTCCTTTGTCTTGACATTTTCCATTTCAAAAATTTTTTAATTTTTGTGATTATCTTAGTGATTTTTAGTAGTAGGTAGCTATATCACTAGTATCAATGCCTCTCTAGGAGAAGTCTGTACTTTAAGGATATCTTCTGTATATGGGCGACTGTGAGTTTGTGTCTGTTCCAAGGTTCTACCTTCCCAATTAATTGAGAGTAGGGTGTTCCTTTCTGTTTGGCTCTGTCCCCATTCTTTTTGTGGGGGTGTGGTGAGGTTATTACCCTAAAACATCCCAATGTTGTTACATAATGGAAAACAACTGATTACAATAGATTTGACATCTTATGTACAGTAGTACAACTAGCAGTAATGATAGCATGAGGCATAATTTAGAAGCTGACCAACTGTGGTAAGTATTGATTTTGTACTTTAGACCATAGGATCCAAGTCTATAGTTTTATAGCAGAATTAATTTGTTTTAGGATTTTATATGCAAAGTGTTTCCCCTTGTTAGAGTATATTTACCCTGGGTTCCTATGGACAAGCTGATTGCCATGCTCTGGGCACTTCCCATACTGACTGCCCATCCCTCAGTGTAGGGCAGTGGGTCAGGCACCAGGGTTCCTGTGGACCAAGGCTCCTTCAATGGTGAGGAGTGGTGGGAGGGGTTTCTTCCCTCTTGTGTGGTTCACTAAGGCTCACTGTGGCTCGCAGGATCAAATTGTTGGTTTTAATATTAGTTTTATATCCTGGGTTATAGGCCAGAGATCCTGAAGCCAGGATTTGAATGTGGGTCTATGTGGTTTAAATATCACTGGAAATGAAGCTAGATTCCAGATATTAAGCTATGAGTGTTGTTTGAATTGAAAATCTAAGGTGTATAAATCCTTATTTCATATTTTACATTTTTTATGATTTCAAAATTTATTTTACCTCTCAGTATGATCTAATTTTGCTTGCCATCATTAGAACTGTACAAAAAATATTTTGTATAATTGCAGTGAAAAATTCACTTATATATTAATCATTTTGATTGTGCCAATTTTATATCAACACCAGAGAAACATGACTAATCTAGAATGCTTCACACATTGCAAGGCTGACCACAGAATTTTCTGAAGGCTAGTCAATAGAATATTTCTCTGGAGAACCTCATAAAATACAGTAACTAAAACATCAGAGAATTCCCTGATGCATATGTTATATATGACTGTTTATATATATTATTCAAAGTTAATTAGATAGGCTTAAAGCATCAGAGAACAGTTCACAAGACTGCCTGGATGCTGCAGAGCCAGAGCATCCAGTAGCTACTCCATTGAAGAAAGTGGAGGCCAGAGCAAGAAAGATCAAGTATGCAGCATCAGTCAAGACTGAAGGCCTCAAAGCCCCTGTAGAGTCACTAGTAGAAGCCCACATTGAAAGGCTGAAGAAATTGGGCTCTGATGGAATGGAGCTTTGAAAATATAGGCTAATTTTCTCCTCTTTTCTTTTTATTCCATCTTGGCTTTAATCCCATTGGATGGTGTCACCCACATCAGGGCAGGTCTTCAATATCAATTTGTTGGACTACATGCCAATAACCTCTGGGCACTCCCAAAATTTTACACATCTCTCTCTCAGGAGTACCTTGCACAGTCTCCCAGGGCCTTAAAGTGTGGGTAGAAGGAATGGCCATACAATCCTTGCATTCTGCCTGCCTGAACAACCAGTATCACCTGGGTGGTTCCAAAGTCTTCATTAGCTTGAGTAGTAGCCTCTCCTGCCTTGTACCATAGTAGCAATAGCCTTGGAGTGTCTGGATGGTTGAGTGTAGTGAGATGAATCCTGGGAAACCAGTTTCCTCAGCAGTGTTTCTTAAGCAGGAGCCCAAGTATTCTCTTTTAAAATGAAAGATTTCCACTTTTGTACCCTTGCACCTGTGACAGGTAAGTTATTGCTGCTTCCTGAGATACTCTCAAGGCATCTTTCTTCTTGTTCATTCCAAATATAGTTCCTTTTTAAAAAATGACGCTAATCTCTTCAGCAGCTATAGCTGTTTTGGTCCCATCTTTACGCATGGTTCTACTTCGGCCAAAATTTAAGCTTTTGAAACATTTTTTTGGTCTGTTTTTTGCTTCTGATTTTCACTATAAATATAGCTCAAAGCAGGCAGCAGTGTCTTTGTCATAATGTGAATGTTGACCTGCTTTGAAATTTCTGCTGCAAGATTAGTCCATTGAGCCTACACTTAACCTTATAAGACTCTGACTAAAATGTAGACAAGTATTTGCAGACCAAAACACATATGCCCTCTGATTCAACTCCAAGAAAGTCCTCACCCAGAAGCTCTTCATCCTTGCCTGTACTGTTGCAGTCCTGTAGCATGTTGGCCTTCTGAGCCCTGGGCAGAATCGCCTCTAATCTCTGCTTACAGCAGGGTAGGCCTTTTCCAGCTCATATTCCGAAGCCTTTTCAGTTTTCTAAAGGTTTCTGAACCACATGGTTAGACACAGGCACAATAATGACCCCATACTCTGGGTCCGTTTTTTGGGTCAGCCTACTTGTTGCTTCGACAAAATACCAAGCACCCACAAAATGGGCTTTACTTTGTCTCCTATTTTTGGAAGTTTCAGCACATGATTGGCTGGCTCCAAGATTGGAAAATAATGGCCAAAGGATACAGTGGAGCCATGCTGCTCAGTTCCTAGCCACTGGGAAGCAGAGCAGGTTCCAAAGTGCTCCAGAGAGGAAGGGCCATGGCCTAGACAGACCACAAGGTCACACCTCCGTGACCTGCCCAGACACAAACATGTGCTTTATTAGTTCTTGGCTGGCTCCCAACCAGTCAGGTTGACACTTAGGCTTAACCATCACAGTTGCTCTATGAAATCTCTTGTTCCTAAATTCAAGGTGTAATGATAATACACCATGGGCTTCCACTGGCAGAAGTTTTCAGTGGTGGGTTCTGTTGCTTTTTAAATCAGATGTTAATTCAATTATCAAATGTATTTCTTGATTTCTAGAGTTAGAGGAGATTGCCTTAGCCCTTGATTCACTTGAAGGCAACATGATAGCTGAGACAAATTTGGAAGATTTTCTAAGGAATGTTGGGATTAAGTCACCTGAAGAGGCCATAGAAAATATTCACTCTAATTTTGTTAATGGTAAGTAAGCCACTGGATCTTACTTTGGGTTTGTTATTGTTGTTTTGTAGGATTATCTATTTGAAAAGGTGTGCAGAGACTATGAATATTTAGGTTACTGCAGACATTATCACTGAAAAGGAACCTTTAATCTTTTTTCTCTTTTGCAGTTATAAAAAATATTTTTAACAAGCAGTTCTAAATTTTGTGGAGAATACACCTGCTAAATCCTCTCTCTTCATGATATTTTGAATTACTGAATGAAGAACAGCTTAATAATTCAAACTCTGTGAATAGAAGTCCTAGTTTTGCTATTTTTGGCCAAATGAAATTACCAGACCTTTATTTTGCTACTTTAATTTGAATACAAATAAAATTTAAATTAACATATCTATAAATATGTGGAATTATGATAAAGCAACATACATGGAAATGAACATAACATACTTTGTAAATAAAATGCTCAATAAATATATCAAATTTATGTTGATTTTATGTTAGCCTCTTTATATTGTCTTGTCCAGGAGGTTTTGATTTTACTTACCTCTTTTCTTTCTAGAAGATGACATGGTAAATGTTAAAGACTGTATGGAGGCTCTGAAGGACACCCAGAAATTTTCCAACTTTATTGGTAAGAGTGTTATGGTAAGACTAATAGAGGTCAGTGATGTGGGACTTATTGAAAGGGCATTTGTTTTATTTAATTTTAATTTTTTAACTCATCATTAACTTTATTGAAAATCAATAATTATATAGCAAATTAAAAATTATAGACAAATATTGAAATGTGAAAGATATAAGATGTACACATAGTGAATTTTAGAAAAATATTTCTGAAATGAATACATAACATGAGATTAATAATAGATTGTGCATTGTAAAAAATTATTTATAAACTTAAATGAATATAACAAAATTGTCTAAAACATGAAGAAGGAAGACTTTATGATCAGACATATAATAGTTTACTCTATGCCAAAATCAAGAAACTTATATTCATATAATTAGAATTCTCAAAGTAGAATGGGGTAGGAAATAAATATTTAAAGATTTAAAATTTCTGAATTTAGTTAAAATTATAGCACCACATTTTGAAGAAAAATGAACCTTTTGCACAAGAAATATGAATAAAATACCAAGATACACAAAAATGAAGTTGTCCAAAACTAAGTATAAGGAAAAAAATCATTAAAGCATATACATAGAAAAACTATTAGCTATGGAAGAACAAAATCAATTAGCATTTTATTCCACATTAGACAAAAAAAGATCAAGTGGGTAAGAAACTAGAATTATTTATTCAAAGGACTGAAAAAAAAGATATGTCCTCATTGAATTTTATACTTAGCAAACATGTCTTTGAAAGCTAAAAGTAAAATATTTTCCAGTTATACAAACTTGAAATATTGTAATACCTCCAGATGTAGCATATAGAAAATAACAAAGACCATACATAATCCAGAAGGCAAGAGAAGTTGCTGTATGGTCCTGGATAAAGAATAAAGAGCTCTCAAAAAGCTAGTTATCCTGTTTGGATAAAGCTGTTAGTCAGAAAAGATCATCTCAGAAAGTTTGGATAAGCTTATGATAATCCTTTATAACTGTCATAAAAACTAAGGTAGATCTACGTGTGTTAATGTGGAAAGGTGTCTGAAATATACAATATGAGGGTACTAGATATGCTTGTATTCTCTACTTGAGAAAAAAAGTTCTTCAAAATTACAGTTCCATATTTGCTTTCTTCTAATTTTTGCTTCAGATTTCTTAATCAGGAAGTCCCAGTCGTTGTTATGTCCCAAAACAGGTCCATCATCTTAATGGTAGTTATGCAGGTAGCAAGAACACACCAGACACGATCCCTCAGCCTTGTGTCAGAACCGTGTGTGAGCTGGATGCACCTCTTTATAATGTACCTAGTGTGTTGTACTGGGGCATATTGTAGCATTTCAAGCCAAAACAGTTATCTGGGAAAAGTATTTGTTTCATCTGTATATTCCAGTCATATGGAATTTCAATCTTATTTTTAAGCATTTTTCATTCATGCATGTTTGCCACATAGAATGCTTACATCCATCTCGTATAATAGGGCATGTATCCTTCACACACCTTGATTCGTTTTGTTCACATTCCCTTCTTCCTCTCTCTGTCTCTAGCCCACTGTCTCACATTTCCATTCACTCTCTTCACTTACATTGTGGCGCATGATTACGTTCACTATGGGGAGTTGGCACGTGCACATGGCACACTTAATTATTTTATGTCCTCTTTTTCTCCCCATCTCTGCACACCCTTTACTGTTTTATTCCTCCACAATGGCCAAAATTCTATCTCCTTCTTTCTTTTTTATCTGTCTTTTATTTTTCTCTTTATTTACGCTTAACACTTCTCAGAGGAGAGAAATCATGCAATATTTAAGCTTGTGTGAAAATTGTTTCACATCACACTACAGTCTGAAGGTACTTCCATTTTCCTTCAAGTGACTCATTTTTCCTTCTTTAGAGCAGAGTAGTACTCTATTGTATAAAAATACAAGTTCTTCATCAGTTCATCTGTTGATGACATATAAGCCATTTCCAAGATTTAGCTGTTATGAATTATACTCCTTAAGCTTGAGTATGCAGGTATCACTGTAATGTGTTGTCTTTAACTCTTTCAGGAAGATATCAGAAGGGGAAGAGGAGGTTGAATGGGATATCTGTTTTTAATTGTCTGAGAGTTTTCCATAGCGATTGTATTAATTTACATTTCTATCAATACTAGGATTCCTTTTTCCCTGCAGTCTCACCAGCATTTATTGTTGTTTGATTTTCTGATGATAGCTATTCTTTCTGTAGTAAGATGGAATATTTTTAAAATAATTTTATTGAGAAACAAATATGAGATAGTTTCACAACCAATTACTGGCACATTTACAGTATTAATACATTGCATATTGTTGTCTTAGTGGTTATTCATTGTACAAGATGCAGACATGATATCCTGTCTCAAACACTATTATAACAAACCTCTCTATTCATTGAAATAAGAGAGTGGAGCTGTATATCTATCCTATTTTGAGTATACAGATACAAAAGGGTCATTCATTTCTATCTCACTTTTTTGGTTAGTTTTGTCAGAGATAGGCATTCTATTGTTATTTAAATGTTGTAGGTACTTGAATTCAGCAGAATCTCCCAATAGAGTCCAGTAGTCCATAATAGTAGTGGATTTTCCATAAAACTGGCAAAGTTCAAAGTAGTTGACTTGAGCTTTTACAGCTCAGCATATTAACGTGGCTTTACTTTATATACCTCATTTTTATACTTTTCTGCTGGATGGTTAAGACCAAGATAAAGCAAGACCTATATAGCAAGAAATGTAACTTTTGTATTTGATAAAGTCAGTCAAGTCCCCTCAGGATTTAACCTGAAACCCTATACCACAGTTTGTAGATCCTTTGTGAGTGTCAGCCATGTGGATGAGTCACAGCCATTGCTTGACCAATTTGCTCTCTGTGAAAGCCTGACAGAATGTTTTCTTTCCATGTGACTCTCCTTAGCAAACTCTACATCACTGATCACATTCCTCTCTAGCCCCATAATCTCCTTGATCAGAAAATTTGGGACACAAGTGAGTTACATAATGTTACAGTATCGGTTCTCCTATGTCCTGAGTCCTCACTGACCTTGAAAGGCTAGGGCCAAAATGTTGGCTGTCCATGCAGCCCTTCTTTTTTGGTCTGCAAATGTAGGTTATTAACCCTCCAGAAGAGAAGCTTAATTTTTACGCTACAACATATTCAGTTGGGTTTAACCTAACTATCTGTCTGAATATCAAACATCTTAGGCATAACGTGGAGCAGGTATTTTCCATCAAGTATTGATATGTTAAATTTTAAGTCCCTGCAGAATATGAAGACAAAAAATAAAAAAATAAAAAAATTTGAAAAAATATGAATAAACAATTACATAATTTTACACAGAAATTAAGAAATCTAACCATATACAGCATTGTAGCAGGACTGTCCTGTGACATTTTTTTCTGATCACTTGTTTTCATTTATTGCCCCCTCTTTTTTTTTTTAAATAAACATGTACTTGAGAGACAGTATGGCAGTAATTGATATGTCATGACAAGCAGTACGTATTTAGAAGACCAGAATGGCAGCCATTCCAAGCATGACCCTACCATTACACATTGCTATCTTCAGTGCAGCTGCTTAGTTCACACTTATCAGCATATATAGTTAGTCAGGGTGAGAATCCTACCAATTAACTGCTAGTTTCAAAAACATGCCGCAGATTCTCAGGATCCTTGCCTTACTCATTTTGTGTGTATAAACGTATGGCTTTGCCCTTGTCATACTTCCCAGCTTTTCTCCTTGCCCTATCCTCATTGTCCAATCCTCAAGTTATC